GACGTTTTATGTTTTTAAAAACTTATGTGTACATTATGAGATGTCATATCTTAAATATAATGTTTTTTTAACATTCAGTAATTAAGATTGTCCACCACAAGTGAATATTAAATATTTAAATTGATTTTTTAAACCAAAATCTTCGTGTCAAAGAATCTTCAAGATCGTTGAATTCAACAATTTGAGCATGCCAAGCCCTAGGATACCATTCGATGATCAGTGATTTGTTCTTAAATTAAAAACATTAATCATTGTAATTACATAATAGTATTTTTGAAAATCATAATAATGCCATTCTTGGATCAATACAATGATATAATAAGTTAAATATTGACACTTGTTTGGTAGGAGCCCATGCCAGGTGTACGGGCACATACAATTATTTAAATTTCACAATACCGTAAGTATACATTTTTAGTAGTAATGTTAATATAACCAATAAACATTTGATGTTTCTATCATCATCGTCACTGAGATGAGCTTGAGTGTTACAAAAGATTTACACTTGGATTTAGTTTTATTGGTTTAAAATAAAATATTTGTCTGTTAGTATTATTAGTGTCCAGTTTGCATGGCGGTCAATTAAATAATTTTGACAAATAGTTCTTAATTATCTTCGAATAAGGTAATCGGACCGAAACATAATATTAGGTAGTCTAAATTTAATTCGAACTCTGAAAGTTCCGAATTTGGAGTCGCAAAAGTATTCCCTTGATCCATCTAAATTCCGGTTATATAAAATTAAACATCTTTTGAGATAAACAAAAAGTAGAAAAGCAAGTACTTTTGTTCCAATAAAGAACCAGACTCGAATATTTACAGCACGAAGGAAGTATAATATGGCGTTTGTAAGTTTATGATTACTGTGTATATGTAAATCAAAAAGTTTATAACTATACCTCAACAATAAAAAAAATATAAATAGTTATATAAAATGTATAGAAACTTTTTTTTTTTTTTTGAAACTGATATATAGAAACTTTCAATGAACAATGCGGAAAGTTATGATCAATACATGTAATCTAATAGTTTATGATAGTGTTGTTTGTTGTGTCATCATCCAAATGTAAACTTATATGATGCATCCGGTTGATAAAACAAAACGTGAAACTTTCTTCTTCGTTTTTAAACAATTATGCTGATCAAAGTTTTATAACAATGTATTTGTAAACCTATTAAAAAGTGGTAATCTAAATTCAAATTCTTATATTACTTCATCTTAATCATCCTTTTGTGGTAAATAAAGTTTTCCTGCAAAGTTGACTAGCCAATTCAACCACATTTGTAGATGTTTTTCAAACTTCCCATTAATCTTGGATATATTTTGTGTTTTTCTAAGGAATAAACAATGATTTTCTTTCCATATTTTTCTCAAAAGTAGAAAGCTTTTCCAATACGTAACACAAACCTTATAAACTATTGTCCTACTTGCATGTGGAAACTAAAAGTAAAAAGTTAGTGTCCCCAAAGTAATAACCTTTTTCATGTACTTAAAGATAATTTCGCTCAACATTTTGGACCACAAAAGACTACATGGTAGACCTCGAATCATAAACATTATATATTTATTTTGTATTCCCAACTTAATAATGCAAGAATATGTTTGTTGAAATATTTGGATATTGGAATAGTTTCCTTTGGTGGGTTAGGAGCACCTGACTTGTTTTACAATTATTGAGAATCTAAAACGGCCCCAAATTGTTTTGATTAACCCTCGATTCCATTTGGTATAATTTAACATACAAAACCACGGTTTAATATTGGTGATATTACGGTTCTAATGTTTTGGTTTCCCTATTTTGTAACCAAAGTTCTTGTGAAACTCTTTGCAGTCTGCACAGTGTCGTGCCTACAGTTTCGGAGCCCGAGACAGAAAAAAAAATGCTTTAATTTATACCCTTTTGTAATATATATTTTAAATATAAAAAGATATTAGTAAACTAATTGTAGTTAGAATTTAAATTACAAATTTGATTCTCATAAGATAAATGTCTTTTTAAAAAAAAAAAAAAATTGTAGCCAATGTATGAACAATAATAATATTATATGAAGTTTATTAGCAAAATCCTAAAATATATAAAGAAAATATGCAAAAACCTATTATTTTGTTTAAATGTAATAATCAAATTGGAGCCCCATATTTAATAATTTAAAGAGGGGGCTCAAGGTCAATGCCTCAAAATTTATTATATAGACACGGCCTTGAGTCTGCAATATGTTTTTTTGGGTATATGACGTATTTAATCCAGTTTTAGCCTTTAATTTTGTAGTTAATACCTAACTAAAGACATATATTATATGTAGTATATTGATACATTATAATTTTTGCTAAATTCATCAAACTACATTCCTCATCCAATTTGAAGATAAATTTTAATTAAGTTTCAT